TATAGGTCTTCAAGAGTTTGGGGTCCTGTCCAAGGACGACGAGCTAGAAGTCGTGTTCTCTTCACACATACAGCGTAGTTGGATGGTAGTGGGCGATGCTCAGTCCTCCATGGAAATCTTGCACAATAAGTGCCATCAGGAGAGCGAGTGATGTTAGTTTCCTTGAAATTCCCAATCGCAGTCTGGTCGTTGGTTTCTGTGGGGGTCATTAACAAATCTAAGGACGGTGGATCCCAAAACCGATTGGGGTCTATGCTCTCTACTTGATGATGAGGCATGGTAATGACATTTAATATGGTGGTGTTTGATGGGGCTTCTCCCAGGGGTAAGGGTCCCGATAGCAGATATCCAAGTTTAGACTCCATAGCTGTTGGACCAGCTCCTCTGATAATATGGTCTTGGACTATTTCCCAGTAGTAATTTGCTCCAATCAAGAGCGAGACTTCAAATTTCTCGTCTGAGGTGATTGGGTGGGCGAGTGGGATTCCCTTTAGGTATGGGAGAGTCCGGACGTTGGTGCGAATACGATTTTGCAAAGGTGTGGCAATCTTTGGAACGACCAAAACACTAACTGGTATTTTCTCATCTGTTATGCTTTCGATGTTGATGGTAACGGTTTCTAATGTGTGACTGGTTGGTTGTTCTCCCCCAAATGTTGAAATCTGGATATCTTTAGTTTGTTGGGGACATGCGTGAAGCTTGTCGGCTAATTCACGGGTGATAAAAGAGCACTGGGCTCCCTCGTCAAACAAAATGTTTGCAACAACTCTTTGGTTAGCTAAGGAGACAGTACTAATAGCGGTTTTCAGTAAACAAATAGTAGTTTCGTTTCCTTGAGTGTTTACGATTGATGTTGGGGCCGCAGGGATTAGTGTGGTGTGGACAGATTTTTCCCCTTGTTCCTCGTTTGCCTGTTCTGGGGGATCTTTGATGGGTGCTTTCTGAGGTTTGCACAAGCTGGTGTGATGTTTGCGTGTACATGTTCTGCAACGATATTTGGATCGACACTGTGACACCTTGTGGTGTCCAAGGCAATTAAAACACAAGTTTGCTTGTTTAATAATCGTCAATCGTTTTTCTGGATCAGTCACTACTTCGCACCGAAGTGAGGAATGTGTACCCTTACAGTATGCACAGTGTGGGGTCTTGTCACCTTGATTTCTTTTCTGAGTATTGTTGTCCCCCCATGAACCAGTATGAAATGCAGCTGTAGCAGTGTGGGCAGGACTAAGCTCTGATTTAGTTTTGTCTATGTGCAGACCAGCTTCAAGGATCTTGATTTCTTTAAGGAGGGCATCTCGCAGTTGGTCAATTGACCATTCTAAGGTGTGATGTTCTCGGGCTAGGTTTCGCCTAACTTCAGCTGGTAATTTCCCCAAAATTATTGGTATAAGAAGGGCCCCATAGGAATCTTTTGACTGGCCAAGTGAGGCAAGGCCTCGGATGTGGTTCTCTATTGTGTCGTAGAAAAGCTGAAGACTTATGAGCCCTGTGTCGGGTTTGGGTAGGTCAAGCAAACGTTGCATGTGTGCATTGACAATCTTTTGTTGTTGACCAAAACGCTCAATTAGGAGATCAATTGAATGTTTGTAGTTGGCACTTGTGATAGGGAAACCTGCTATAACTCGAGCTGCATCACCTGTAAGTTGAGCCTTTAGATAGTTGAATTTTTGAACATCATGCAGTGTGTGGTTTAAATGGATGGTTGTCTTAAACGAGTCCCAGAAGTTTTGCCAGGCAATGGGGTCCCCAGAAAATGTAGGTAGGGATAACTTTGGCAGTCGACTAACTGATGGATAAGAACCACTGGCACTGGCACCATTGTTATTGTTATTTATCAGTGTTTGATTTTGAATAGTGTTGTTGGAAGCTGGGGTTTCTCCTGTTTGGGAATTGGGTCCAACTGGGCTTTGACTCATTTCTGGTTGATGGATATTTTCCTGTTGAATAGGCTGTTCTGATTGGGGTGAGGTTTCTGGGGATGACTCATTAGTGTTATTGAATGATTGTACAGTAACTTTAAGCTTTAATTCGTTACGTTTTATCTCAATAAATGTGGTAAGTTCACTGTACCTTTCGTCGATTGTGCTGTGCATTTCTTCCGTTTCAAAAATCTCACATTCAAGGTCTTCGGGTTTGGTGATAGCTTTCGCAATTTGTTCATCGAGTGGTGATAAGATGTCTTTCTTTCTTTTGAGTTGTTGACAGTAGTTTTCGAGCGTGGCAATGTGAAGTTCATCGATAGTCGTGGCGGATTTCAATTCTATAATCTTCTTGTAAAGTGTTGTGAGGTGTGCTCGATAAGCTTTTCGGGACGCTCGAAGTCTTTGTAATTCTTCCATAATACAACTGGTCACGGCACCAAAATGTGGATTGTTTATATGAATATATTTGACATCTTAATACAAGACATAACTAACATAAAGTCCCAAAACTATGGTCCAAAACGGTCGTTTTATATGAATGTTACGAATCTAAAACGTGTTCGTAAGGCGAGCACTAACGCGCATGCGCAAGCAAATACTACGCTTAAAAGTCATATAAGATTAACTATAGTGTCCTTTAACAAACTATGCATAATTCTCGACAAGGCGTACGTTTTTGCAATTTAATTTTTTAATTAAATAAAATTTTCATCTTAATTAAGAATCAGTGGTGGCTTTCGGCAATTCTGACTTTCAATAAATTCCGAAAATTGAAAACAGAATTTTGTAGAACTTTCAGGATTTCACTTTTTTACTCCGGTTGATTAGCGCGAATTTCCCACCTTTTTTCATGTTATGAAATGTTTTGCCACAACGTGAGAAAACATACGTTTTCAGAAAAAAATACCCAAGTATTTTTAACCTTTCCATCACATGCTCTCTGTCTCAATATTCCCACCTTTTTTACGTTGTCTAGCTTTTCATGAAAAGTGGAAGTCGCAAATTTCCCACCTTTTTCGCGCTTACCACTTCGTTAACAAAACCCGCGAAAAAGGTTCCTTTCTAAAAATTGAACCCTTTAACGCCAGTAATTACGCCACATACACTGGCCTACCCAGAGTGCCCCTCCCATCAAGTGGTCAGACGTTGTTTTACAAATTGCAAAGTATCGCACAGAGAACTATGGCGACTGTAACATTGTGATAAGGTTATAAAGTTGCGTCCGCAGTTACTGAACGTCGGAAATTTGTCCATGATTTTTAACCTTGATGTTAGTGAAGCCTATCTCTCACTTCGGAAGGAGAAATGATTCTCCCCTCGGAAAATAGATTCTTTGAAATTGAAAATTTCGAGTAGTTTTATACTGTCAACGGAGAGCCCGTAACAACAACTACAATACCTAACCAACAATCCCAGTTAACAGCGGTTTATCTCGTCCACTAATTGGTTTGCCTATTTCCTATTAACCGTCATCCTCTTTTGAATGGGCATCAATTAACCCTCCGCCAAGTCGAACCTCTTCGACAACGACAATACCTATATAAAGGCCAAGATTCAGAGCCAACGATAAAAGAATTAGTGGTTGGAAGAAATCATTTACTGAAAAACCCCTTGTGACCTCTGGGAAATTCTCCTTTAAAATATTACTTATCGTACGATGAGTATAATTTTGTTAAACCCACTGTACTCCATATTGTTTTAAACAGTGCCGTTATTTACGTAGAACAGCAACACAACAATGAATTTTGGCGCAAAACTTTTCTATAAATTAACCAATCAATTTGCAAACGTCTGATCACTTGATGGGAAGGGTGTGTGGCGTATTAATTACTGTCTTTAAATGGTTCAAGTACCTTTTTCGCGGGTTTTGTTAACGAAATGGTAAGTGTGAAAAAGATGGGAAATTTGCGACTTCCACTTTTCATGAAGAACTAGACAACGTAAAAAAGGTGATTGCTTGAAAGACACCTATTTGTCCCTTTCGTTTGACTTAATTTATCCCGTAATACCCACTGTATATTCTTTTATAAATCTAACCTTTATTGACCACAAAGGTTAAGTTATAAAGCACAAATTTCCCAAACTTTTGAAATGAAAACCATATCGTACTCCATTGAGGGGAAGGGAAATATCTGAAGAATATCATAATGCTTTTTTCCAGGTTGCACCAGGTGAGCTTGAAGCTATATTAATCGCTCATCCAAAAATCCAAGATGCCGCGGTTATTGGCATACCTGATGAAGAATGCGGAGAACTGCCAAAAGGTTTCATTGTAGCGAAAGATATGAGTGATGAGGAAGTACATAGTTATCTGGAAAAGAACGTTGCTCATTATAAGAAGCTGCGTGGTGGCGTAGAACGTGTTGATGAGATCCCGAAGTCAATTAGTGGCAAGATATTGAGAAGAGTTTTAAGGGAACAGGAATTATCGAAGTAGATTTTAAGTGTATATATTCTCAAAGTTTTATTCATGTTTTCTTAAAACTGACTTAAGTCCTCTGTAGAAGTCTTTGGAAACAGGTGCTTGGGCAGGACACGACGGGATTCCCGTGTCCTGCCCAAGCACCCCCGCGCGCTCGCTCATCTTATCCACTGATCTATATAAAAAACACTGTAGTGTTGCTATTTTTAGTGCGTTATTTGCGCCTGGGTAGGAGGCTGGCGTGTTTCACTGTAGTTATTATATAATATGTGTTACGTTAAATGAAGAAAGATAGCATACAATTTCAGTGTATCTTTATTGATTACCCTTTTTATTATATTAAAATTTTTAAATAAAAAAGAAAGCAAAGTTATTTGCATGCGAGAGTTTGAAATAATGAAATAAAATATTGAAATAAATCATTTTATTTCAAACTCAATTTTATTGATAAAGCCTTTTTTATTAAAGACAGTTTAGTTTTATAAAGAACATTTTAAAACGTTTAATTGCGAAGCGTTTGTAGTTGAATTTTACCTTAATTTGAAGCTTATATTACGTATAAATATATTTGGGAAATGTAATTTTATAATTAAAAGTGATATTTTTTAGTTTTAGGGGATTTTTCATTTGTAAAAATATTCTTAATAAAATTTTCGTGTTACCATGATAACTACTTTAAATGTTCGGAAAATACAATGGTTTCTTCGAGTTACGCCCTTTTCGAGTCAAGCCCCGACCACGCCCAAACCACTCCCATTTTCGTCGGGGGCTTAACTAGAGTTACAATCTTAACTCGAGTTAAGCCCCGTGAAAAAAGAGGGGTTTAATAACTCGAAGTAATTGCAAATATTCATATAAGCAAAGTTAATAAGAGTGTTATAAGCACGACATAAATAGCAGTTACGAAGACATACTAGGGCCGTTCCTAGACGCGATTATTGGGAGGGGGGGGGTGTGTATATTCATATATTCATGTTCACTTACCGTAAAAACAATCGCTTTCAAAAGAAATCCGTCGGGCAGAACACGAATATATGAATATACCCCCCCCCCCAATTATCGCACTAGGAATGGCCCTGAGACCTACGTCGACAGTTCGGTGAATACAAGAAAATAACCGAAGTATTAATTCGGAGGGACAGGTTTCAACCTTCGACAACATACAACTTTTGAATATTCAAATATGGTCTATAAATTTAACCCAAGCGAAACTAAACAGTACCAAGACAAAGCTACCAGTATAAAAGACCTTACTGTGAACAACGAAATGAATTTTAAATAATTTGGCGACGCCAGCAAGTTCATCTAATCCTTCGGTAGTTCGAACCGCTAACGATGCTATTAACAATGCTGTTGTATATATATATATATATATATATATATATATATATATATATATATATATATATATATATATATATATATATATATATATATATATATATAAGCTGGTTAATCTGGAAAATCTCTTGTTGCAAACATAGCGTTCAAAACGAAAAAATGGAGCTCGTTCCAGTCTCACATCCTCCATTTTGTAAATTTTTTACAGGTATTTTAATTTATGTCAGATAATACGGCATTTTACAATTGATTGATCGCATTCAAAATAAACAGAAATATATATATAGACTGTACTGTTTATGCTCCAATTACATGGATAAGGTTTGTTTTCAGTATGCGTTCGTGTTCGTTCATGGTTCAAGTTTGTTTTTAAACATCACACAAATGCTCTCCTCTGTGGAGTTTGCTAAGCTGGTTAATCTGGAAAATCTCTTGTTGCAAACATAGCGTTCAAAACGAAAAAATGGAGCTCGTTCCAGTCTCACATCCTCCATTTTGTAATTTTTTTACAGGTATTTTAATTTATGTCAGATAATACGGCATTTTACAATTGATTGATCGCATTCAAAATAAACAGAAATATATATATAGACTGTACTGTTTATGCTCCAATTACATGGATAAGGTTTGTTTTCAGTATGCGTTCGTGTTCGTTCATGGTTCAAGTTTGTTTTTAAACATCACACAAATGCTCTCCTCTGTGGAGTTTGCTAAGCTGGTTAATCTGGAAAATCTCTTGTTGCAAACATAGCGTTCAAAACGAAAAAATGGAGCTCGTTCCAGTCTCACATCCTCCATTTTGTAATTTTTTTACAGGTATTTTAATTTATGTCAGATAATACGGCATTTTACAATTGATTGATCGCATTCAAAATAAACAGAAATATATATATAGACTGTACTGTTTATGCTCCAATTACATGGATAAGGTTTGTTTTCAGTATGCGTTCGTGTTCGTTCATGGTTCAAGTTTGTTTTTAAACATCACACAAATGCTCTCCTCTGTGGAGTTTGCTAAGCTGGTTAATCTGGAAAATCTCTTGTTGCAAACATAGCGTTCAAAACGAAAAAATGGAGCTCGTTCCAGTCTCACATCCTCCATTTTGTAATTTTTTTACAGGTATTTTAATTTATGTCAGATAATACGGCATTTTACAATTGATTGATCGCATTCAAAATAAACAGAAATATATATATAGACTGTACTGTTTATGCTCCAATGGCCTTACTTTTATGTGACTATTTCCTCATAGGGTTAAGGATAGGCTTGTCATTGGGATGAAGGTCAAAGAGAAATATATTCCTTCCATGTGCACCCGCCATGCTAAAACAGGCGCAGACGCAAAAATGAGGCCATTTAGGTTTAATCCGCGGGATTGGACCAAAAAAGGTTGAAAATATTTCAACTTTTTATTATCCAGCCCGATCAATCAGAACCAAAAAATTCTACTGGTAGCGCATGCGCGAATTTTGTTTTGTTTCGATCCGGTCCGATCCGCTGCTTATTTTCTGGAGTTGTAATTAGCCTTCAGACTACACGAAATCGGCCAAGATCAAATCGGAGAAAGTTAAATGACAGATTTAGGAAAACTTTTTTCGTCAAACTTGGCCCCTAACGAATTCACGTCCCACCCTAGAGGCGTTAGTTCGAGTACGGGCCCAGGTAACACGATAAGGAGCCGATGTAACCTTATTGAAATCCCTACTGCCCCTTGAGCGAATAAAATATGTAGAACATCGAGATCTGCTAATGTTTTTTACTATCCAATGTAATGTCTCTTGCGCCAAAAATCGACGAGGTGAGAGTTGTTTCAAGCGAGTGGAATTTTTCTTTGTCTTGTGATTTCTCGGGTGGAACTATTTAGAAAAGACAAAGAAAGATTCCGCTCCGCGCGCAAAATTCCGCCTAGTGGAAAACCGGCTTTAGTTTTGTTGAGACTTGGTTACGAAGTCATATCCAAGATACTGTGATTAATATTCCAGGTTACAATCTTATCCGTAGAGAATAGAGATAGAACTAATGGTCAACCTGGCGGTGTCTGTATTATTTACATAAAAGATCTGATAAATTTATGATCGATATATGACCTCAATAATGATCCGTTTGAAGACTTTGAAGTGTTGTGGACTAATTCGCGCGCATGTCCAGATTACCAGGGGGATTTTTATCATTTATAGACCCTCCGCTCGGGGATTTGGCGTAATATTTCCCGAAGTGATCATATATTCCGAGGGGCTTTGCCCCGAGGAAAATATCATCACTGAGGGAAATATTACGCCGAATCCCCCGAGCGGAGGGTCTATAAATGATATATTATACCGAAAGTTAAAGAACTCACTAAGTTCAGAATAAACTTTAAAACTTGCTGAATATTATTAAACTACGCGAATTAAATTTTTAATTTCTTATGTATACCTGAGTTTTTGACGTTTCCTCTTTAAATATTTAAGCATGTATCCTTTGGATCATTAAAGGCAAAATGCGTCTTGAAAATGTTTTGTTAAATCAAATTAAATATTCTGTACGAAAATACGAAATTACAAACAACAGCTCGCGAACGCCATATTGTTTCAGGGCGTGGTGTCCACGCGTGAGCGTGGGATACTATAATATCCCACGGTGGATCTGCCGTGGGATATTATAGTATCCCACGCTGGATTGCGAAATCATGAATTTGAGTGAAATACCGTAAAAAATCGGAACTGTTTATCACTCCCATGTGTGCAGATGGCCCAGCAATGTTAGATTATTTATTATATTGCCTGTCAACGTTGGAATCACGTTTCCCTAGTTGCTGTTTGATAATCCTGGGCGACTTCAACGGACTGAATATTTCAAGATTTATTCACAACTATAATTTGTACCAACTTGTTAACTTCCCTACGAGAGGCAGAAACACCCTTGACCTTTTCCAGACAAACCTTCACGAATTCTACGACCAACCTTTAAGGTATTCGCCCTTTGGTGTGTTGTACTGAAAAGGCGATATAAAAACGAGGCCTGCTTCCGAAGGTACGAAAAATCGTAACAAAGAAAAGAGACCTGCCACCAAGCTTTCGCCTTGCATTTTGCAAGTACTTAGAACTCTTGGATATTCCGAATTTGTTTGACCAAGAGTCTTCTTGTGCCAAAAACATCTCTCCTAGAAACCATTGTAACAACCGGCCTAGACTACATTATTCCATTACGCACCCTGGATCGATGACCTGAAAATTAACTACGCCGATTAAGAAACGCAAGAAAGCTCTGAACCAAGGAAACTTCCCCCTATTTAAGTTGCTTAAAAATAAAGTAAACGGCGAAGGGAAAATCTGTCTGGCAAAATACTACGAGAATAGTGTACGACATCTCAAGAATTGTAAACCATCTTCCTGGTGGAGCGAAGTAAGTAAACTTAGTGGAATGCAATCTGCGGGCAGAAATAGTGACGAAATTCTCAAGGCATTAAGGCTAGCGACCATCGTACGGAATTTGAAAAGTTTGACCTAGCGAACGAGATAAATGACAGCTTTTTGTCTCCATTGGCTGAATTTACAACCTTGTCTCCCGACTGCTATCGCGATTTGTTCTCTGTAATCCCCGAGCCGACGGCGCGAAGCGCCGTGCGAGGGTACTAATTCCCCCCGGCTATTTACACCCGGGGAAACGAAAGCATTAGCGAAGCCTAAAGCAC